TATATATACATGTATACATTTTTAAATGGCAAGTGCAGCATTTTTGTTGCAGTTGTGGGCACCTCCAGTGGGCATTTCATCATTTTTCTCCTAAAATAATGTGCAATGTAAATAACTAATGGTGGTGTAAAGTTTTATGAAATGTAGTTGTTTTCCTTCTTTTTTAAACTGGTCATGTTTAAACTAAATGTTAGCCCATAAATCCAGACAGAATTAATATTAAAACCTAAACTTTAACTCTTTAACCTAAGGGATAAATGAAGTACAACACCACCTTTAAAGTCTTCTTTAGGACATTTACAGTATTTCTATTTAACAATAAGTACAGGAGTGCAGTTGAAAAACAATGAGTGTCAGAGTATTTCTTTTGCCGACAACAGATATTATAAATGATGGCGACGAGGATGGCCGCCTTCTTAGTGAAGTGAGGATCATTTCTTCTGAAATAAGGCAAGAGTTGAAGAACGACTGTCAAAAAAGAGCTTTGTATTGCACTGCGCTCTACATGTACACACACACATACAGCGCGCCGTACAAGCAGAGTGTGAGGCAAGGACCAATGAGGCAGTTTATATCGGGATTTTGTTTCACAGCTATGGCCTCCTGGGAGAGAGGGGTCTGCCAATAACACTTAAGAGACAGAGCAGGAAAAGTAAGTGCTTTTATTACAGCTCATCACTCATGTAATTTCTGGCAGCATTTGTGATTACAGATCAAGTGATTGACTAACTACACATTCAGCGGCTGAGTTATGAAAGGGGAGCCTACCATTCGAGGCCCGGCAGATTCCCGGTGTCAGCTGTAACTCATCCCCTCCCGGGGTGCTAAATCAAAGAACGCACTGCAGCAGGAAGAGTTAAATAATAACTTCAGCTTTGTCGTAAATCTGCCAAAAATTAAACCTGTGTGGACGTTGCTTAGCTGCAATGTTGTACTGGGGGAAAAAATGTTGGATCGTAGGGGATCAATAGAGGCCCTGATGGAGGTATTGATGGATGACAGGTGAAGTGGGTGTGTGTGTGCGTGCGCTTGAGGGGTGGGATCGGATCACCCTCGGGTTAGGTAGAGAGCACGGCTCAGGGTGTTTAATCGACAGGTCTCACCTTGAATCGATTGGCAGGAGTCTTGCAGGGCAAAGACGTGATACACACAACCAACACTTACTCAAACTGAAACAAACCACAGGGAGTGTCGAAAGGATGTTGTGGATGCGGGGTGGGGATGAAATCTCTCAATGCCATCAGTACTAAATGTTGGCATGTGCTCAGCGTTGGGCTCAGAACTCACAGCAAAAACTCAAGTCTAAGACATTGTTTTTTTTAACGATTAACTTATTAAACTCTCTCGAGCCATTATTCAGTATCTTTTTTAATGCTAAGAACAGTCCCAATTCATTATTACACTTTTAATTTAATTTATCACCTGGCATCATGCAGCAAATTAAAAACATTATTACATCCCAAAAGGATTTCTACAAATAATTCATTGATTGCTATTTTATTGTGTTTTTCAGTTAAGAGTCTCAGCAGACAATAACCACTGAGCAATGGCTCAGTGGTTAGCACTGATGCCTCACAAGACGGTTCTGGGTTTGATCCTCAATTTGAACCTGGGGTCTTTCTGTGAGGAGTTTGCATGTTCTCCTTGTGCTTATATAGGTTTTCTCTGGGTGCTCCTGTAACACAAAAAATGAATGTTGTTGAAATGTATTCAGATTAAATAACATGGATGTATTATTTGTATGGGAACAAAATTAACACAAATGTTCTGTGTCTTCATAGCACCCAGAATGGACCCATGCAGGGTTTAAGGGTGTAGACTTCAATCCACTCAGTGTTACTACATTTTTGACAATCAAGGTGTTCGATAATTTTCAGCTCTTTCAAAGTTTCTAATATGTACAATGGGTTGCCATTGGGCCCAGGCCGCCCTTGCAAAAGAGATATGTGATCTCATGGGATATGCAATAAAATTCAATAAGATACTGTTTCAAAGTGTAAAAAAAATGTTTGGTCAAATGTGGACATTTAAACAAACAAAACGACAAGGTATTCTTAATCTTTACAAAACAGCATTTCTTTCTGAACAGCAATATGCTGAAAAAGCAATCCACCGTATTCTTGGTTATTGACAAAAAATGAAGGCCACATCAAAAGAAACACAGTGCAGACATGCAGAGCAGGCTAGAGTCTAAAGAAAGCATTGTTTTCCGTAATGATCCCATTTAGTTTGGGAAACCTCATCATATAGTATTATCTCTGCAACGAATCAATTTCCTCACCCTCAAAAGAACCTCAGCAGCCTGCACATCTGACTCACACAGCAGAGACGGTCAGCTCTGGTTACGCTCCACTGTGAAATGTCTTGCAAGAGGCCAAGATCTGAGATGCTGCCACGTCCTTAATAAACAACATGTTGCAAGTAATAAAATAAATGTGGCTCTGCAGCACACACAGTAAAACAAGGAAGAAAGACAAAAACCTTTAACCTTCTTAACTTTTGTTGAGATGTTGGCTTCGACTGATGAATCGATTGACTTTAGATGAGGTCAAGGTTTGATGCATGTTGTTGACTGAGGTGGTTTGTGAAAGTGGCGTATTTGCTCAGAAACACTGTTGAATGAAGTGCAATTCATTAATGTTAATATGGAGTCTGTTTTAGAGAACTAGAGCACCATAAGCTGATAATGGGAAAAAATACAAAAATATCTATTTGTTTGAAAGCAGAGTTTGTGCTTAAAGTATTAGATGTAGAATTTTTTTAAAAAAATACTAGAAAATAGGTTAAAAACAATCTCTAGATTCACAACTTGTTCTGAAATGATTCATAAATGGTACATACTTCTCTGCACTTGGGACAGAGTTTAAATGTTTCACAAGACAAGAGACATGAAAAGATGAGTTTCACATTGTGGTTTCACTTGGGGTGAGGCGGAGGCCATCTGAAAAGTTGTTCTCCAGTGTCGAAGTCAGAAGAACAATTGAGCACCATTGATGTAAAGCCACTGCGAAGTCTTCAGTTTTGAACAGAGACTGGAGACAATCCTCTGAGCCCCAGGACTTGTACATCCTCCAGGAGGTCTGGGTTTGTGCCTGAGCCTGTGCCTCTGCAACGTGCTGCTATCGCTTCCAGATTTTTGGAACGGGGGAGACGGTTAGGCAGATCTTTCCTGAAGCAACAAAAAACAAAAGAAAAAAAAGAGACAAAACAATAAGAATGGATGTAATAAACTGCCTTTGTTGTGTAAAATATACTTTTTGAAGTGTGGGTAAATTTATTTTCATTTTATTGCACAATATAATACAGCTGCTGGATATAACTTGATCTGTACATGAGGAAGATTTCATTCGAAAGTCTTTTTATCTGTCAAGTTTGAGTAGTATGAGCAAACACATTTCACTTTTTACATAAATACTGCACACCATGTTTATTAGAACACAATATTTATGCATTTGACATTATAAATGTCTTGTTTTTTCATTTGATAAACACTTGTCTTTTATAAAACTTTGCATTGAGCTTTCTGACCCTGTTTACCCGATGCAAGGTGCCAGCTGTGGGCCTGCACTCTTTTTTCCCCCAGTGGCGGTAAAAGCTGCAATATAGTCGAGAGTTCATGAAAACTGTTTTGTCTGCTTCTGTTGGGTTCTTTCTTCTGCTCCCAAGACCTCCCTGTCCCGTAAAAAAAAAAGAAAAAAGTTCCCTTTCATCCTTGCTCATAGGTGATTGATGGGTGGCCATTTCCTGTCTTGTCCATCCTTGTTGCAGACCTAGCTGTGGCAAAGTCTGCGTCATTTAACACTCCATTTCCCTCATCTTTGTTTTTGTTTTTCTTTCTGTCTCTGCACTCTCACTTCTGTCTGTCTTATGCTCTTCAGAGCTTTCAGGTCTCTGCAGACCTTGGATCAGCCTCTGCTAAACTTGCGTATCCTATTAGAAAAACACACAGAATCTACTCAGCTTGTTCCAACTATCACAAAAAAACAATTGAGTTGGAGAATTTAAGCAAACTAACAGATACCAGATATGCAATAAAATAATATGGGGCAATACGTTTATTTGAAAAAGGAAAAATGAGAATGTGAGATACTTTGTTTTTTTTTTTCATAACAAAACCAGAACTTTTACACTTGAGAAAATGTCTTGGAGTTCATGCCTAAAAAGTCTGTGCAGTTAAATGTATACTTCCTTTCTCTACGCAATTAAAATGCTTTATAGTTTCTCTGTGTGAGGTCCAGGGAGGTGATTTGTGTAAGCAGGTGGTGATTTGTACTGGTTATCCCAGGAGAATCAAGGATTTCTTAATTTGCACAAATGAATCAAAGCAACACTCTGGTTATGAGGAGGTGACATTATAACAGGACATCCAGCTCAAAAAAGTTGATCTTGCATAATAACCCACTTTAAGATGTGTTTCCTTGTTACAGAAGCATGTTTTCCCTTTGACTGGCAATGATGTGACTGAAAGGGATACTGTTATTTGCAAACTGATGCTCTCTCTGGTCTGCAGAAATATAGACATAACTAAATATTGTCATACTTTTAAAATAAAATGCAAAAGACGTAATGCACAGAATAAAAGACATTGCACATGCTTTAGTGAGTCGCAAAGGTAATCTTGTGATGTAACTAATTACATTTACTGTGGAGTAATTATTTATTTAATTACTTAATTGCATCTTTATGTTTACTCTAAGCACTGAAACACAGCGCTAAGATGCTCTTTATACATTACAGTTTTTTAGTGACTGTGTGTGACATGTTTGGAGAAAGATGTGGTTTGCGTGCATCAAAGCTGCACATATGGAGGCGAGGGAATCACTACGGAAATATTGCTTTCATCAGAGCACAGTATAATTGTAATTGGCTTCATCAGAATGTTTCAATCAAATACAAACTCTTTCTGTTGACTTTGGCTTTGGGTTTGTGTCTGACGTTCATGCTTCACCATGACAAACAGGCAAGAGATGAGCTAAAACAGATTATTAGTTATAAAAAAAATGCACCCCCTTTTTGTGAATCAGATGGATTCAGCATGCTTCTCCAGTCTGAAATCAGAAACCCCAGTCAATAGACAAATACGTTTAGAGGTTCAAGTCCAATGAAGCAGCAACACGGAAGCTCCAAATGTAATGAAACAGACTTAAGGCAAAAGAAACGCAGCATGAAACTGCTCATTTGACCCCATTTAAAAACTTGATACCAATTAGAGACTTCTGTGTGTAAATAATTTAGACGATCTCTCTCTCACTGAACACACACAACATAATTTTACAGGCAAGCGCACATGTGTGCTTGCATGCTTGTGCGTGTGCGTCGACTCACAGTCACCCTGTGAGCCTGCAGCACGTGCACGCTCCTGTGCATGTGCACACACGCACACCCAAACAGATTCCACCACGCTCTGGAAACAGACTTTTTAATGAAGCCTTTGCAGGAGGAAAGTAGAGCAGAGATGCATTCTGGCCCATTTCTGCCTTCTTCTCACCCTCCTCTCCTCCATCTCTCTCTCTCTCTCTCTCTCTCTCTCTCTCTCTCTCTC